TTCACTCAAAGCTGCCAAGACATTTTCTTCCCTTTAATTTTGTAGCCAACAGGTAGCAGTCAAAAACAGATGGTCATTTTGGCAGCAATCCTGCAAACGTGACATCCACCATCTTGGCCAACACACCAGGGACTGAACTGGGTACCTCCAGGGCTAAAAACAGGAGATTTTACAGCTTGAGATAAAGAGCCAAGGCTACCTAGCTTGGGGCTGCAACAACTCAGATCCTCAGTGACAGGTACAGAGGGGGGGACCTGTAACACACACTGACCAGCCCTTACACCAATGGGTGCGCCCGTGCTTAACTTTGCATGTCAGTAGTTCTACTAACTCCAACAGCAGTCATTGTGTGAATAAAGTGAAGCACATGACTAAGTGCTTGCAGGACGGAGGCCTTTGTTAGTAAATGAGTTACTGTAAACAGCCACAGCAAAGGACATGGCTACAGCCCCGCTTAAACTGAGAAAACATAATAGTGAAGCATGAGGAATATTATTACCTGTAAATTAACCATGTGCATCATTTGCATTTTGCAAAACTCATCCCCTTGTTTCACATTTAATATTCAGTGCAAAAGTGATATCCTAAAAAAACATTTGCTGCGAGTATCCATTTCAGCTAGAGAAATTTACCAAAGAAAACAAAAATGCTACAGTAGTGCTCTACAAACAGGTTTCCTGTTATCTTTACTCTAACACAGGTGGAAATCCAAATCCAAAAGCTGTCTGCCACCTTGTAAGTTATTTTTAGTTTATGGGTGAAGCTGCTGCCCTCTGCCTTATTTATCCAGTGAATTCACCTAGCCAGCTGTAAATCCACAGGCGATCACAAGCATGTTTATCTTACAAATTACACAGGCCAACAGATGCTAGACTCATACAAGAGAAAATTCACTGAAAAAAAAAAAAAAAAAAAAGTCAAGCATGGGTTTTTGTTTTGCTACTAAAAGTACTACAGGCACCTCATTCTGCAGCTTTATTATTAAATATTTAGGAGTTATGGGAAGCGGGGGGTTAAAAGAGGCTACAAGAAACAACGTTTTAGTGCTGCTGCTTTACTTGACCCATTTATTTCTAAAGGGAAAAAAAAGATGCAAGACTAGGCCTGGATCACGCCCAAAAATAAGGTTACGTGAATATGTGTAGGACTTCTCCCCACCCAAATCCCCAATCCTGTAAACAGATCCCCATACCTGCACAGAGCCCCAGTTAAGTCAATGGAGCTACCCTGGTGTCCACCCACATGGATCCTGATTGCAGGATTCGGGCCTAAAATATTAATGGCATTAAGAAATCTTGCATGCCAGTTGGTAGGTCCTGATATCATCAGCACATCGCACCAACACAGGAATCAGATCTAATTTGTTTACTGAAATCTCTCTAAAAAGCATCAGTGTATCTCCACTGTCCTCAAATAAGACCATGGACTCTCCTAGCGGGAGTATATACGTTGTTGGCACTTAACCAATATTAAATAAGTCAAGAAGTCACTGTTGTGTTGATAAAACAACAATGCTGTATTGACTAGAGCTGCTCAGATGTTAATTATGTAGTTACTAATGCAAGGTTGACTTTAAAGAAATGCGCCTGTCTGATTTCATCATTGTTTCCTGCCACTGTTTCCTCTATTTAAAAAATCCACAAGACAGACATTTTCTAAACGGCTTTGCCATCACATGCTTCTCTCCTTCCATCCTACATCTCCTAATCACCTCTTGTCCCAACCCAACCCACATCTTCCAGTTTGCCATCCCATCTGGGCTTCCCCACACCGTGTGGGAGTATCACGTAATATGGCATTTAAAAGGCTAAATGAGGAATCGCTCTTCCTGGGAATTTCAGAAGCAGAATAAAATCCAATTGGGAGATCATTTAAAAAAAATTTTAAATCTGCTTTCTTCCCCAAAGCCAAAGGACAGAGAGCGGAGATGTCTGAGTTTAATGTCGGTAAAGTGCTTTGAACATAGAAAGTGGTAGGCAAATACATTATTCTCAGCAGCAGTAGTCATTAGGGCAAAAATCTTCAATTTGGATTGGAGCTTCATTAAAAGACGGGCAGAACAAGTGGAAAAATATTTGAGGAGCAGTAAACACAGGCTGAACTGGTGCAAAGTTTGCTACTGAACTAAGCAAATAAGAGCAGCCAGTATCCACGCATACTGAATTCACATTGCTGCTTCTTGTAAGGGTATGCTTTCCACCATTCTAGTTACACTAAGGGCTGCAGAAAACACTCTTTCAATACCTGCTACCTTGGCACTGAGCAATTTACTTCCTCTCCCCCCCCCACCCCCCAAAAAGTGGGGTTATCTGGGAAAAAGAAAAGCATGAAAGTCTGAGGATTTGAAATCAGTGTTTACTTTCCCAGCTTATGGGGCCCCATGATGAGCTCAGAAAAAGGAGGGGAGAGAGAAATAGTGCGGCACACTGCTGGATGCTAAAGGCATAAAGCAGCTGACAGAGCCCTTTGGCCAGTAACCTGGGACTACAGACACAAAGCTACCCGCCCAGCTCGCTCTGGGCATCTCCTGGAAGGGGATGAGCGCACCATCTGGTCTCAGTCAGATTGCAAAGGGTTTCAAAAAGGGGAAACTAAGAATCAACAAAAAGCAGTTCCACCCCCTGAGCAACACTGTTCAGTGCAGGGGGGTTCACCTCACAGATCACAGTGTCCCCCAAATCAAGCAGGAAGAAAGTGTTTCCAATTTCCCCCCACAAGTTCTATCACCCTGAGCAGCCGCTGTCTCCAACTCTCCCCCCAAGCAGTTCATCCCCAACCACAGTTGACAGGGATCCTAACTCTTCTCCAACATCATCTGCATCGGTGTGGGAGGGGGCATGGGCACTCAAAGCTTTCCCCTCCACACATTTACTCTGCAGAGGGGCTGGAAAACACAAGGCAGGGTGTATAGCTGCACAAGGGTGGAGTTCTGTAACTGGCAGGGGGTATTTGGGGAGTTGCATTCGAATGTTTGGAGGGGATGTGGTAGCTGGGATGTGGACAAGGCTTCAGGGAGGGTGGTGGGTTTGGACAGAATGGAGTATTTCAGAACGTGGAAATGTTGGGCTGACAGAGGAATGGGTATTCTTTGGGGAGGCATGGACAGCTGGGGGTGTGGAGATGAGGGGTTGGCCTTGCCAGAGGAAAAGGGTAGCTGAAGGGAAGGAGTGGGATAATAGGCAGTTGGGGAAGGAATGGGAGGGTTACATTCAGGGGATCTCTGGGGGAAGATGGGGAGAGGGTGTTCACAGAGGGTTGTACAGAAATTTGTAGGGAAGGATAGGAGTTTGTATTTAATGAAGGTGGGGAGCTTATTTGAGGGGTAGTGGGGAAGCTTGGCGGTTGGGGTACATGTAGGGCTGAGGTACATGCCTCCACATGCCATACATAGGGGCCTGTGGTATATGGGGCTGAGAAAGAGGTGGGAGCCTGTGGTATCTGAGGATTGGAACTGAGGGTTTTCAATCTAGGGTGGGGCCTATGGTATCTAGGAAGAAGTAGAGGTATCTGGGAGGACTGTCATGTATGGGGGTGGAGGCTGAAGTTGTATCTAGTGGAGGCTGTTATATGGGGGTGTTACTAGGGAGTCTGATATATAAAAGGTGTGTGGACTGTTGCATAAGGGGTGTAAGTGCATGTAAGGGGGTCATGGGCTGGATGGTCTGTGCAGGGGTATATTGAGAGGGTCTGAGTGGGTGGGGTTTATCGAGGGGGTGTATTAGGGGAGGTGTATGAGGTGTAGGCTGTACCTAGGGGGGGTATATCACAGGGTTGCTGGGGTGTACCTAGGCAGCCTGGGAATGCAGTGTGGAGGGCCTGGGGTGTCTCAGGGGTGCAACACAGGGGAGTACAGGAAGCCACTAGCGTAGGTGCCTTGGGGTCTGCTAGGCAGGTCACTGGGCAGGGCAGGCTAAAAGTATGCAGGGTCTGGGTGTGGGCAAAAGGCCCTTGAGAACCATGGAGGGGGGTGTTCTGTGAGAGGCAGCAGGCTGGGGAGGCTCTCAGATGTTGGGGGATCCCAGGAGTGTTGCTGGGGGCTCTCAGTGGGCCCAGGAGGAGGCTACTAGGGGTGGGGAGCTCGCTGGGCCAGGTGGTACCGGGGCAGGAGGGTGTCACTGGGCAGGGCCGGAGGAGGGTCACTGGGACAGACGGTACCGGGGTACTGGGGGGACACAGGGCAGGGCGGTATCAAGGCAGCCAGGGGGCTAGCAGGGGTATCGCTGGGCAGGACCAGGGGGCGGGCCCAGACGGTACAAGGGCAGGGTGTCACCGCACAGGGTGGTACTGGGGGGGACCAGGGTACTGGGGAATGGAGAGCAGCACCAGGGGACTGGGAGAGTCACAGGGCAGGCCAGACAAGGGGCTGGCGGGTGGTACTGGGCACTCATACCGGGCACTGGTACCAGGCACGGAGGGGGGTCACAGGGCAGGGTGTATCAGGCAGTACCAGGGGTTGCAGGGCAGGGTGGTACCACAGGGGCAAGGTGGGCAGGAGGCTGGTACCAGGTGGCAGGGGTGTCATCAGGAGGGACCTGGATACTGGGGGGATGCAGGGCAGGGTGGTACTGTGGGGGCAAGGCAGCCCGCGGCAGGGAGCTAGCAGGGTGGTACCAGAAGGCGGGGTTGTGGCTAGGGTTCTGTGCGGGCGAGGTGGGCCAAGCAGGGTGCCGGTAGGATGGTATCAGGGGGCGAGGGTGTCGCTGGGCAGGACCGGGGGGCGGGCGGCGAGACTAGGAGGGACCGGGGCGGGGCGGCTGGCGAGACGGTACCGGGCGGACCGGGGTACCGGGAAGACGCAGGGCGGGGCGGTACAGGAGGGGCAGGGCGGGCCGGGACGTGGGGCGGGCCGGATGGTACCGGGGCACCGGAGGATCGCAGCGCGGGGCGGTACCGCGGAGGTGACGCGGGCCGGGGCGGGGGGGCTGGCGAGACGGTACCGGGCAGACCGGGACACTGAGGTGTCGCTGGGCGGGACCGGGCGGCCGCGGGCCGGGGCTCACCCAGCAACAGCAGCTTGACCTCCCGCGCCGCCTTCTCGCCGTCTTCGCGCAGGTTCTTGTCGATCATCTTAGAGCGCTCGGCCGCCGCCTTGTCCTCGGCGCTCACGGTGCAGCCCATTGCGGGGCCGGGCTGAGGCGGATCCCGGCCGAGTCGGGCTGGTCGCGCGGCGCTGAGATGCGTCCACTCAGCCTGCCGGCGCCGCTCTGAGCCCAGGGCCGCCCGGCTCGGGGGCGGGGTGGGGCGGGGCCTCCGGTAGTAGGGCGGGGCCGCTCTATATAGGGTGGGATGCGGTAGCTATGAATGGGGTGGGTTTGGGGTGTAATGGGTTAGGTGGGTGGCTCTGTATTGGTTTGGGGTGCAATGGGTCGGGCTGGAGTGGGGCTGTATAGGGTGGACTTGGGGTGCAGTAAGTAGGGGTGGGGTGGTGTGGCTCTGGGGTGCAATGGGTGAGGGTTAGGGAGCTCTGTATG